TTTATATAGCGCAAATCCAGGCTCAAGAGCATGCTCTATGCGCTTTACAACTTTTATTACCCCAGCAGACCCTCTGAGAACACCCAGAAACATTCTCGGCTTCCACAGTGGAAACGTGTTTGTTTGTTTGTTTGTTTGTTTGTTTGTTTGTTTGTTTGTTTGTTTGTTTGTTTGTTTGTTTGTTTGTTTGTTTGTTTGTTTTAGTAAGCGTTATACGTCCCAGTGACAGAACTATGCAATGTTTGACTCATGATAAGAGATATGTTCACAACCTGTACTTATTCATTATGGAAACTTTACTTATCAAATGAGTGTTTGTGTGATGTGATGTGGGCCAGTGGCCTTAAACAATGGAGAAACTTACTTACTTACGGCACTTGCAACACAATAAAGTCACAAAGTGCCGAAGATTACAGGTGTTACAAGAGAGTGACAAACATAAAAAAGAAGGAAGGGAGATAAGGACGACAGATGTTTGATAGGAAAGAAGGAGGAAACCACACCAGAGCACCCGCCAACCACCCACTGTGAATTTGTGACTTGTCGATGGATACCCTGCAGTTGGTGATTGCTTCAAGTACAAGAGGTAGGTCTAGATCTTGGTGTTTCTGATATTTCAACAACGTGTGTGTTTGTCATTGTGCACCAAACTGACCTCCGGGAGGTACAAAGGTGTACTTTATTTCCTCTATTTTCCTGTTTTGGATTCTGCTGTTGGGCCTCTTGGTCTACGATGACCTTGATTAGTGTGTTACAAGCAGGCGCGGTGCTTTCACTGAACAAGGCCGGCGGTCACTTTTTGTCGCCTGTACAGTGGACAAGAGATTGATTCCTGACGATAATTGGTCGCTTTTAAGCACAAGGGGGCTATCCCGAAAAATTATGTTTTGAGAAAATCGAAGGTAAAGTTTTTGCCCCTTGTTCAGTTTCTTTAAAAGACAAGGAGAGTTTTCTCTATAACCAAACATATATACGCACCAATGAAACCAAAGTTCTCCTATAGGTAGGGCAATGCCCACTTTTGGTGTAAGTCAAGATTTCTGGAAACCCCCGAAATCTGGATTAGCTCGCTTGTCCTTAAAAGCGACCAATTTTTATTTAGTTTCAAGTAAATGCTCATTAATATCGAATCAACGTTCATAAAGCACTCTTCGGCAAATTGGAAGGTGCTCTGGGAGACAAAATTAGTGTTCTTTGATGTGTTGTCGCACTACAGAGACTCGTCCCTTCATCTTTGTTTATCACGCCGGCTCGTATGTCCATCGCCTCTGTCACAATGTGAAACGTATCTGCGCGAGACGCCGCGAGACTCCGTGAGACACCGCGAGATGCCGCGAGACACCGCGAGATGCCGCGAGACGCCGCGAGACGCCGCGAGACGCGAGGCCTTTCCGAACAGCGCACACTCGGCGGGGACGTCAGCCACCAGGCCAATTGGTCACTTTCAAGGACAAGCAGGCTAACCCAGATTTCGGGGGTTTCCAGAAATGTTGACCTACACCAAAGTGGGTATTGCCCTACCTATAGGAGAACTTTGGTTCCTAAAACAAAACACTCTCTCCCCCCCCCCCCCCCCGCCCCCGCCTCTTGGGCTCATTTTATTGCAACTATCTTTAGCCTGCTGCAGTTCTTCGTGTTATTCCTGTGGAACATTTGGCATCAGATGTTGGTGTCCCCAATACTTGAACTGCCGAACTTGTTTGATCTTTTCCCGCTCATCACTTATGAGATAACTAAGCTAGATGTACTACTTTTTCTATTAGCGTGCATTCTGTTTTCTCCCCATTCACCAAGAACTCTTTACGGTCACTTTCCGTGACAATACCATCTAGAGGCGATTGAGGTTCCTTTTCTAAATGGTCGCTTTTAAGGACAAGCGGGCTACCCCAGATTCCGTGGGGTTCCAGAAATCTTGACCTACACCAAAAGTGGGCATTGCCCTACCTATAGGAAAACTTTGGTTTCATTGATGTGTATATTTGTTTGGTTATAGAGAAAACTCTCCTTGTCTTTTAAAGAAACTGAACAAGGGGCAAAAACTTTATCGTCGATTTTCTCAAAACAGCATTTTTCGGGATAGCTCCATTGTGCTAAAAAGCTGTGTCATCGGTGTTTTTGATGTTACTTTTACTAATATCGGTGTGTTTGGTGTTACTTTGACTAATACCGGTGTGTTTGATGTTACTTTTACTAATATTTTATAATTTTCGTCTCTCACTTTGAGACCTGATCATTATTCCAAACTTGTAAGGATTGCTTCACTGTCCATGTAAAATGTGAGGCATCGTGGTGAAATCAGGCGCTCGTCAAAATATTGAAATCGAAGAAACTGGCATCTTTCTGCCAGTCTGAAAATGTTTGTATGTATGTAGTATAGGGTTTTACGGCGCTCGCAACTGCTAAGGTCATATGAGCGCGCTGAAAAATGTTTATCGAATTTTTGGGTTTTTTAATATTTTTTAAAATAGCTTTTATGTCCGTCTTCAAACACGTTTCTGTTTGTATTTTACTGGAAAAACGATGATTAAAGGCACAGAAATTGCAGATTTTGAGTTTACCTGGCCTCTCAAACTTTGTAGGTAATCGAACTTTGGTGGCCATTTTGTCGCTGAAACCAGGCGACCCCCACCTCTTCCAGTGGCAAATATCTCGACTTGTGTTCTAGCTAGATGTGCAAGCTCTTTGATTTTGTGTTGGTTAACACACACACACACACACAAACACACACACACACATACACACACAGAGACACACACACACACACACATACACACACACAGAGACACACACACACACATACACATACACACACACAGAGACACACACACACTCAAACACACACGCATGCACACACACACACACACGCACACACACATATACACACACAGACACACACACACATAATATACACACACGCGCACACACATATACACACACATATACACACACTCAAACACACATGCACACACACAGAGAGACAGAGACAGACAGACAGACAGACAGACAGACAGACAGACAGACAGACAGACAGACAGACACACGCACACACACACACCACTCAACACAGAGAGAACAAGAAGACAGACTGTGTTCCCGGTTGCCAAGTTCCGTTTATTGTGACGTCACATGGGTCAGTTCTCTATGGCTGCTTGGGTTGCTGCTTGGATTGTCCGAGTCCCAGAGCCTGGGCCAGACCTCCCGCCGTCTGGATGACGAAGTTGGGGACATCATTGGTCAAGACTTGAGTGGCACACACCAGGGGGCAGGTGGAACTACAGACAGAGACCTGGGCCTTGCACAGCACGCCCTCCAGCGCGTTCTTGCTGGCCTGGGCCGACTTGCAGACGAGGGCCGCGTTGTTGCACTTGTCGGTACAGCCGGTGAAGCAGGAGCACACCGAGTTGCACAGGCCGGCGCACGCCTGTTTGTTGGCGGCACAGTCCACGAAGGGAGGCAGGTCCACGCAGGCAGAGGCCGTCACGCTACAGAAGAAGGAGCAGCCGCCCTTGCAGTTGTCGACGGGGGCGCTGGCTTCCTGGGCCAAGGTCAACCCGGACAGGGCCACTACGGCGATAGCTGGGAGGGGGAGGGGGAGGATAGAGGGGGGAGTGAGGGGTTTGAGGGAGAGAGGGAGAGA